AAATAAATAAATAAATAGATAGATAAATCTTAAAAAAAAAAAAAAGATTTATTTATTTATGCTTACAAGAACTGGGGTATATAGGCCAGAGGTGTGTGTGGGGGGGGGGGGGAAGGATTCACCAGAGACAGAGTAGGGAACAGAACAGGCGGATTGACTGAAATAAACTGCTGAGGGGAGCAGTGGGCAAGACAGGAGAGGTCTGCTGCGCCATTGTGGGTCACCTCCCTGGCCAGGGATGGAACTCTGGCTGCTGACAGCTCCATAGTGCTAAATTTTAATCCCCGTGCCACCAGGAAGCCCTGGAAAGTGTTTTAATCACAATGTGTTATTTGAGTCCTGACTGAAACAAACTGTCCAAAGATAACATAAAATTGGAAATTTAAATAGTAGATATTTGGGAACACTAAGGAGTTGTTCATTTTTCTTAACAATTTCGTATACAACTATAATAATGATTTTAAAGTCCTTATCTTTAAAGTACATACTGAAATATTGAGAGGCAAAATTGTATTATTCTAGAATTTGCTTCGAATAACTTGGAATGGGTAAGAAGTGGATAGACATTAAGTAAAATAAGACTGGTCGTGAGCTGATATTGTTTATGGTGAATGACAGGTGGGAGATCAAAGACACATTATTTTTGAACATTTTTAAAACTCTCCATAATAAAAAAAATTAAAGCAAGGATATACGTAATACAAACATATTAACAATATTGAGGATAAACTTTGACAGGGACTTAGATAGAGGGAAACTGTCAGATTATTCCAGAAATTTCAAGACAGAGGAGCCCCCTGCATTAAACCAGTGGTAGTAAAGAAATGAAAAGCACAGGTTAAGTCAGGGCTATTTCCTCAGGCAGTAACTAGGCTTCATGTACATTGTAGGCAATATTTTTTACTCACAATTTTTTTTTAACTAGAAAAGCTCCACAGTTTTCGTCATTTATTCAAAGGAGACTAAATCTCCAAAATTAGTAATCACTGAACTAAAGTGTATTTTAGGATTTGAGGCTCTCCATACTAAATAGTGCCCCAATTTCCTTCCCCACAGTACTGTTCCTTTTGAATAATTAATAGTCCAATTTACACACTTTCAATAAAGCTCTCTCCTGCTTTAGAACTGCTAATACTGTCTTCAAATTGGAATACCTATGTTTAGGTATTTATACCTCAAATCTAAAAGTATACTTACCCCCTAAGGACTTTATGAGAATTAAATGAGGACTAAGACATGTATTAAGGCTGGGCAGAGAGAAAGTGCTCAGTAAACATTATCTAGTGGAAACTTCATACACAGGTTGCCCTCACCATTCATTTTCTCAGCCTCTTATTAAATTCTGATTTATCACATTTCATTTGCTCGGTACAAACACTAAAAGTAGTACTCAAATATATTCACTGAATAATTATACTGCAATCAATAAAACTCAAGAGTCAACATATATGGGGAGTATCACCGATCTTTCTAGCAACTAGTGATGGGAAAGATGATGTTAACATTAAAAGGGAATAAAGGTGAATGAGTAAATTGGGTGTTTTGTTGGGGTAAGAGGAAGGCATTTGAGATGAACTGAATAAAAGGATGTTTAAGGGAAAAAAAGTGGAAAAATTACATTATAGCTAAGTAAAATACCTCTTATTAACTAAGATCTTCAAATGGCAACACATAATGTTATGTCTTATCTGTATACCAGAGTGTGCAAACACAAACACTAAAAATTTAAATTTGCTAGAGAATTAATGGTTTTCAATACAAATTGCAGGACTACATTTTCTATGTCATATTTTCATAGTTGGCAAACAAACATTCTGTGTATACAAACATTTTGCGGCAAGACCACGTAGGTGATGAGAAGTTTTCTTTTAGAAGGTACAAAGAGCTGTCTTTTGTGGTGTCAGCAGCTCTTGAAGTTAGGGCTTTGCAATACTTATTCATTAGGGTAACCATTCATTTTTTAAAAAAATTTGTTAAGAAATTACTACATACCAAAACATGAAAAATATCAGTACATATTTGTAATATAGTGGGGGGCCCACTATACTTTGCTGAAATGCACAAAAGAGGGCATGACACTTAGTGAGAGGCAAAGAATTATAAGTCACAACCTATTTCTATGAAAAAGGCTAAGATAACAGTGTAACAGTGGTTACAAGAATAGCACAGGCTTTGAACTCAGATAAACCTGGGTTCAAATCTCAACGACAACCCTTAATAGCTGGGTGACCTTGGCAGATATTTAACCTAAATTTGCCTCATCTATATAAAAGGAATGATACCCTCTTCATGAGGCTGTAGTGCTGATTAAATGGCAATTGTAATTTTTTTTTTTTTTGAGAAACGCTTTTTTTTTTTTTTTTTTAATAGAGGCATGTTTTATTTATTTATTTGTTTGTTTGTTCGTTTGTTTCGTTCATACATGCACTGGGTACAGTCAGAAGCACAGGAGGGTGAGAGAATTCACCAGAGCCAGAGCGGGGAGCAGAGCAGGCAGAAGGACCGAAGTACACTGCTGAGGGGAGCAGCGGGCGGCAGGAGAGGTCTGCGCGCCATGTGGGACCCTCCTCTGGTGGCCGGGGAGCAGCCGGGGATCGAACCGGCGCCGCAGAGGCTGCGGGCAGCTTCGCAACCCAGCGCTCAACCGCTGCGCCACCGGGGAGGCCCAGCAATTGTAATTTTTACACAACATGAACTGTCAAAACCCCACAAACACTCCATTTTTCCAAGCCTAGACCAAATCAATCCAATCTTTTGGAGGATGAGGGGGAAACCTACTCGCACTGTTATTTGGAAATAACTGTTTTACAGCCTTACTAACAATGTTTTACCAAGTCCAAGACAAGGAACCACCACAAAAATAAAAAAGCTTTTAAGAAATGATCCTTTGGTTTAGTTACAAGTTTCCAAGACAGACCTCTACCCCAAAAGCCTTTTACAAAGGACAGGAGCGTAGTGAAAAGTTACAATTAAAAATCATTCCCAGAAGTCAGGAAAAACGTAATTTCATACTGAAATTTCACATTAAAATTAAAATACCTTAGCTTCTTCATACTCATTACTGAATAGTTTTACTGTTGAACACTTAAAATATATATGTAGATGAATAGTATATTCAAGGCTGTATACAATAATATTTAAGTGGTCTTAGTTCTATGGTATCTTTCTTAAAAATAAGTTTAAAATTAAAACCTGTGATTCACTTAAACGCATAAATTTTTTATTCAACACATACATTTTTTAATATACACATCACACGCAATTTTACTAAAGACATGAAAGCAATTTCAGTATTCAAGAAGCAAACCTGAAACTTTATTAACTGATGCAATAAAACATTTTAGAAAAATAGAAAAACACAAACACAATAATAAAACACTATTCTAAAAGAATCAGCATGAAATAATGAAAATCCCTAGGAAAAAAATTGGTAGAACTGCTTCAAAATAAGCAAACAATAAAAGCTTAGAATGGCTGTATAAGAACTAGTATGCCAACAGATCAATTGAAAGCAAAAAAGCAAAAGAATATTTCTTAAAAGACTTCTGCTGTTGCCAAAAGACTTAGAAAACAAGGACTAGGACAGACAATATGACCTCGTTTTGCATGTAATTTTCCTGATGTAAACACAAGACATTTCTCAGCTACTGACATTAGTGAGGCTTATGAAGGACTAAAACAATTTGCGAAGGCAAAAAGTGGTAAAATACAATCTTTCCTACAACAGTTCAAAGGTCACAGATACTGGCTCAGGGATTGGTGAAGTTCAGTATTATTTACTGAGCCCAAGTAAGTGCTTTTGTAAGTGCAATTTTTAAGACTGCTTTACAAATTTCTTTCAACCCGATTATTAAATTTACAATATGGTGTAAAAAGTTGTATAGCAAAACTGGAAGTCCCAGAAATTTAAGAGCTGACTTTACACAAGTTAAAAGAAACAAGAGATTTTAACATAAGCATTTTGAAGCTTTATTTTTAAAAGTCCAGTAGTTTATCAAAGCACAATTCTAAAACATTGAATTGACTAACAAGTGTTAATTTATAATTAACTTTTTCAAGACTGTGTCAAATTAAGTAAGTATTCACCCTATTTTTAAGTTGAACTTTACTCTGTAGTGTCGAAAGTTTGCTAGCTCACTGTCAAACTGAAGAGATATTTGAAGACATCCTTTCTAAATCCAATCTTACTTGTTTCAACACTACATTTTCCAAGCATGTATGTCAGCAAACAATACTACTTACATTCTAAATATACACAAGTGTAAAGAACAGGTGCAACAATATTTAGTGCATGCTTTTTTTCTTCTAAGCCTAAATATGCCCTGGAAAGACTTTAAAAATAAACACAAGTAACCAAAAAGTTGAATACTTTTAAAAGATGCAACCATTCTCAATTCCGAATCATGAGTCCTTACACTACCAGCACCTTCCAAAAGTTATGTAAGCCAGCCTACAAAAGTTTCACCTTTAAGGAACAGAGTCGGACTCAATTAGAAAGGGTCCTGAGAACAGTTAACTTTGTTTTACATGCCTGAGTTAGTAACGTGAGACAAGTTCATGAAGCTGATATGTTATCTCAGTCCTTTCATAAAAACAGCACAGACAGTATGATTTGGCTTTTAAAGAGCAAAAGATACGGAGTAGGGGGAGGCCTGGTGAAGGATACTCTTGAAAGAAAAATTTAGGACAGAGAAACGTTGATGAGTCTATCCCTAAGGAAAGAACTGAAAGGAACGGTAAGGTAGCTTAAGGTAAAGTTAGCGCCGGGAAGTGAAAACTTCACAGGTGAGCAGCAAGCCATTGTACTAGCAAGAGGCAGCCCTGGCAAGTAGCGTGGCTGTCAAGGGGCAAGTGCGTACCAACTCCGGGGGAGGGGGCCAGAAGTGCCAAATCGGAAACGGGGGTGATCCGGGAAAGGGTGGTAAGGTGCCCATTCCAGTGCCTCTCCTGGGGTCTCCATTTCAGGAGGCATCAACGGAATCAAACGCGGTGTCCGGCAGCACACGCCGGACAAACCCACGGCGGAGCTCAGCCCTCCGCTCCGGAGGCCGTGGCAGGCAGCCTCCGGAGGAGCCCCCGCAGACGCCATACTAAAAGCCAAAATGGCTGCCCCAAGGAAGGCTGCACCGCGCAGCTAGTGAGAATTGGGGAACAAGCTGCTGAGAGAAAGGGGGAGGGGGACTCTGGGAAGAGCCGTCGCCAGAACCATCGCCCCCCGAGTCGCACAGGTAGGTTCCTCCGGGCCTCCCAAGGTCGCGGGCTCCGGCTGAGGGGCTCCTAGCCCCACCCCCCCGCCACAGCCGTCCCGTACACCGACCCCAGCGAGGTACCTGCAGTTCGGCCCGCTCCACCTCCCAGTGCGCCCGCTCCATCTCGAACCGAGCCCACTCGTGCTGGATGTAGTGCAGGATCCCCGGGATAGTGTACTGCTGCGGCCGGGACAGCTCGGGGCCTGCCGCGGGACCCGCTCCCTCGGCGGCCGGAGGACCCCCTACTCCCGCCGCTCCATTTCCCCCTGGAGAAAGGCTCATGTTCCCCCCCGGTCCCTGCTGCTGCCGTGGAGGGGCCGCCATCCCCGGGCCGCCGCCACCGCCGCCGGCGAGCTCGTCCATTGTGTGTGGGGCCCCGGCCGGGGCGCAGGGCGAGACGCCGATGGCTGGGGGAAGGGCCGGGGAGGGTGACCCCGCGCTGGCGGCGGGGCGGAGGCGGCCTGGGAGAGGGGCGAGGTGGGGGTCGCTGCTCTGCGCCTGCCGTGGGTCAGAGCAGGGAGCCGCCGGCCGCCGCCATTACAGTCCCTCCTCCATCTGCCCGTCTCACTACTTTAGGGGAAGGGGGGGGGCCGCGGCGGGAGGGGAGGGGGGCAGGGTTGGGAAGGGGCGAGACGTAGGGCCGTCGCGCTCCCGCGCAGCATGCCGGGTAGAGAACGCCGCTACCGCCGTACACCCAGTAGCCAAATAGAAGCCGGCCTCGCCCTACGCAGGCGCACTGTGGACGCCGTCGGGAGCGCCGTTACGGGGCGGGGAGGGCGCGCCGGTCCGCCCTTCTAGCCCCTCCGGGCGGCGAGCGACGGGCCCCAGACTCTGGTGCTCCGGCTCCGACTTTGGGGAGCGAGTCCTTCTCTACTTTCCACGTTCACTTCCCTCGCTCTGGCCATTCGCCAAGCAAGGGTCTGAGCGGCGTCCCGGGCCTCCGGGCTGGGCTTTCATCGGCCCGGGGGTTTTGGGCGACCGCAGCTGGTCGCGGATTCCTGACGTTTCTTTCGCATTCCTTGCGTGTTTCTGGCGGTCCCCAGGGTCGGGCCTTTTTCTCTGCCTGTCACTCGCTCTTTCTCCCGTTTCTTAGCTCCAGTTCCTCCTGGGATTTTGGGGAGTTTCTATTTTAGCAAGTAGCCCAGGACCTTCCGGATGTGGTGGTTTATTCCCCGTCTCCGTTTCGAGCCGGGGCTTTGGTCTCCGTCCCATGCTTGCGGTCACTCGTCGCAGTCACTTTCCTTCCTCTCTTCTTTCCTGGTCTGGGATGGTGGATGTTTTTGGCTTTGGGGAGGGGACCAGGAGCGATTGGTTTGGGGGTTTTTTACCCTCCCGCCCCATTGGGAGGAAAGGGGAGGTAATGAAATACAAGATCTTGATAATAGAGGGAGAAAAATAGCTTCGAAGAAGGGTTAGAGGAACAATTTGATGTTTTAAACGTGATTGAGCTCACAAATATTGATAGTGATAGCAGAGTGTTTTGATGGAAATAGGAAATAAAAGCACCGTGAATACAACTAACACTCCGAGATGAAAGAGTGAAGATAGTTTCCTGGTCATTAAATGTTGTTTGACTGACTAATATTTCACAAAAAAGAATTTTTCACTGCCAATTAAATTTCCGCTATGGCATATACTCGACCGCTTGGTGTGTTTTCAAGAAGATAACTTCTCCTCATGTCTGCTTTACTCTTTTTTTTTTTTTTTTTTAAGATTTTATTTATGCATAGGAGAACTGGGGTACAGGCCAGAGGTGCTGGGGGTGAGAGGGTTCACCAGAGACAGAGTGGGGAACAGAACAGGCAGACTGACCGAAACACACTGCTGAGGGGGAGCAGCGGGTGAGACAGAGGTCTGCTGCGCCATGTGCGTGGCTCCCCGGGGGACTGAACTCGTGCTACAGTGGCTACACACGGCTCCATAGATTGCGTCTTACCCCCTTGCGCCACCAGGAAGACCCTGCTTTACTCTTAATGAGAGTGGATTGCACTTGGTACTCATGCTGCCATGGGTTTTTTACACATGAATTGAGGTCTTATGTCACAGTATTATGAACTGTTACTCCATATTGTTAAAGTACAGTTCTGCGTTTTACAGCAACCAACATACAACTGTTAGTTATGTCCTTTTAAGGGGTTTATAGCACCTCAAAAGTTAAGAACTATTCTGCTTCAATACCCATATACACCAAAACACATTTGTGAGGGGTGTGGGCGACCTCCATGATATTGGCATCAGAGGAAGACAAATGTGGTCACTTACATTCCCACTGGCACCTTAGTTCAAGTAGAATGGATTTATAAGACTTTTTTTTCCTCCCCATCCACCTTCAAAAGAAATTACTCCATTTCTTCTAAATGGCACCACATCCAAACTATAGTCCCTGGCTCCAGTCCCTTTCTCAGTAACCTCTATCATATTTCTTCCATTATCTTCACTCTTTAAAGTTTCCCATCTTTACTCTTTCCCCACTTAAACCACTACCACTGATGGCCGAATCTCCTTTAAAGGCAGATCTGATCATGTCCCGGCATAGCATATAAGGTCCTACAAATTCTAGATCGCCCCCAACAACTACTCCACCATCACACCATCATGCCGGCCCATTTTCTCTCCAACCAGACTACACTGCTTTTGGTTCCTCAAATACATAATGCTGTTTTGTTCCACAGTGATTTGATACACTGTGCCCATTGCCTTTTCTTCCTGTCTTCAAAACTCAGCTCAAGTATTACTTCCTCCAAGAAGCCTTCCAGATCCCTGAATTATAATTCATAGAGATTGTATCCCAATGATCCCTGTTTATCTCCTAATACTTAACATTACATTGTATTTAAAAGGTGTATGTATATACTGATCACTGACACTCATACTAAACACTCTGAAAGGAAGACCTGTACATATATCAGCTCCTGGAGATCTTCACTTATTTTTAATTTCTCAATTGGCTACTCTTTTTCAGATATTCTGCTAATCCCTGGTTATTCACTGTGATCCAAACAATCCCTGCCCCTCACAGATTTTACAGACTGGTTTTAAGTAAATGACTTGGCGCCAACCATTTGGACTTCCTCAATATCTTGTCCAGATCTGTTTTAAAACTCTTGTTTAAAACTTCATGTATCCTCCCTGTTTGAGGAATTTCAATTGAACATGTCTTTAAAATGGTTTTATAAAACCATTTTGCTTTAAAAATGGTTTTATATAAGTCAATAACACATTCTTTTGCCATGTTCTTCCAGATCATAGAGTCATTTAGGAGGTTTGCAGCCTCCTATAGAGGCAGAACCAGTGCTCCTCTTGTTCACAATGTCTAGGGCGGTGAAAACCAGTAAGAAGTGTTTGATAAGTAACTTAAAATGAAACTAATATGAATTTTTTCCCTTTACCTCAATCATTTCTATTAGCTTCTGCTACCATTATACCAACCATCTGTTATGGTTCAGTGACCAGAACAGCTGAGTATTAAACATAAAGGTCACCAAGATTTTCTCTCTATGTTGAGAGGATATTTTTTACACTTAATGATGTATGCTTTGCATCCATGATTCCTGAGGACACTTTGCAGTGAGCTTCTAGAATCTAGTCCTCTGTAGATAATAAGCTTTCCCGGGCCATTTTATCATCTACAACTCGCCTAACTGGAACCCCCTCCCTAAACTATGACTGAGTCATTCATTTCCTCTCTTCAGTCTCTCCTTTAAAACTTACTATTTAGGGCCTCCCCAGTGGCGCAGTGGTTGAACTAGGACCTCCCTGGTGGCACAGTGGTTGAGCACTGGGTTGCGAAGCTGTCTGCAGCCTCCACAGCGCTGGTTCCATCCCCGGCCTCTGGGCTAGGGTCCCACATGGCACGCAGACCACTCCTGCCGTCCGCTGCTCCTCTCAGAAGTGTACTTCGTCAGTCTGCCTGTTCTCCGCTCTGGCTCTGGTGAATTTTCTCACCCTCCTGCGCTTCTGACTGTACCCAGTGCTTGTATAAATAAATAAATAAATAAATAAATAAATAAATAAATAAATAAATAAATAAATCTTTTTTTAAAATTTAAATATTAAAAAAATATTAAAACTTACTATTTATTCTGTATTTTGTATTCTGCCCTATTTCACTAGTCTTATTCATCCCTACTGCACTCACTGTTTCAATTTCAATGTACTAATGTTGATCTTCAAGAATGCCTGCTTGGGGGTCTCCCTGGTGGCGCAAGGGGTTAAGTCTCAGCACTATCAAGCTATCACCAGCCACAGTAGCACAAATTCTATACCCAGCCAGGGAGCTAACCTACATGGTGCAGCAGACCTCTCCTGTCTCACCCACTGCTCCCCTCAGCAGTGTATTTCAGTAAATCTGCCTGTTCTGCTCCCCGCTCTGTCTCTGGTGAATCCTCTCACCTTGCACACCTCTGGCCTACACCCCAGCTTTTGTATGCAAAAATAAATAAAATAAATCTTAAAAAAAAAGAAAAGAATGCCAGTTTATAGTGTTACTTCCCTGGACTCCCCTATGCCTTTTCTGTATTTCAATTAATAAAGGGAAAATCCTGTCATTGGGTGTATGGGGGGAGGAGGAGAGGTGTAAAGGGGATGAAGAATGCCTGTTTCGATCTTTTTTATCCTAATCAGTTTAGAATTTTAAGTTTTTTTTACAACTTCCCATTAGCTAAGCTTAGACACATAAATGCTTATTCTAGCCAACCAAAAAATTATTTTATATGACAGTTTCACAGTGTGGCGCTCAACCGCCTGCACCACCAAGGAGGCCCAAAATTAATATATTTTATGGCCCTATATTATGGCAGCAAAAGTACATTAAGGAATTCCAGGCTTCAAAATATTAAGGGTGGTTAACACTCAGATGCCTTTGTCCTATTTATTGCAATACCTGATATACAAAGAGTTTTAGACCCTGCCTTAAAGAACTGCATGACTCTGTAATTACTCACCTGAACAGCCAGTTTTATACTTTGCTGACTTTGTAC